AAAACGGCGCACAGACCGTACTCGAGCTTTGGATCAATGTCCCCAGAAGCAAGGAGTATGCCCGCGTGTTTCGACGAGAACACCGAAAAAACCAAATTCAGCTCTACGTAAGATAGCCAAAGTACGGTTGAGCAATCGACATGATATATTTGCTCACATTCCAGGCGAAGGTCATAATTCGCAGGAACATCCTATAGTCTTAGTCAGAGGAGGTAGAGTGAAAGATTCGCCAGGTGTGAAATCCCATTGTATTCGGGGAGTCAAGGATTTGCTGGGAATTGCGGATCGCAGAAGGGGCAGATCTAAATATGGTGCAGAAAGACCCAAATCGAAATGAATGGAAGATGCCTCTAGAACGTCTGTTGGGTTGAAGGCGAGCTATCGTCTATCGCTTTGTTCCATGCAATGGAAGCTTTCGTTCCTCTATCCCGAAAGCAAGCAGGATCCCGTTTTTTCCCGATAGTGAGAGCCCCTGACTGATGTCCTCCTACTTCGCAAGCCAGCCCCCGATACGGTACGGAACCCTTCGCTGCCGCCCGTCTTGAGTGATAAGAGAGTTCCGTGTAAGATGTGGAAACAAGGCAATAGATCAATCATGGGTCGGAGTTATGACTTGCCTTACCGAACGTTCATCCTGTCAAAAGATTCCTGCCTAGAAAGACGCTACGCGCCTCCGCTTTCGCAAAAAAAAATCTACGGTTGACTAGAAAGAAGATAAGGGCTTTCATTGACCAATCTCAGCAGTGGAATCCGTCCATAAAGCGGAAGCTGTGTCCAATTTTTCCCTATTCGCCGAGCTCCTGCTCATTGCTCAAGCTACAACTGGCAAACGCGTTCCGGAAGATCAAGGTATCCTACTGGCCTTCGCTTCTTCTCCTTTCAGTCGAGCTATCGCCTCTCGCTTTGCTCGAGCCTGTCTCCTCTCCTTTCAGTCGCACCTCATTGCTTCGCACCTTGCTTCTTGTTCAACGCTTCGCGCCTTTGTATATAGACATAGAGAGCTTTCTTTGTGAAAGCGGGTTAATCACTC